ACCCACAAAATAAAATATCAAAAAGATATAAAGAGGATAATAATATGAAATGGGTTAGGCACGTGAGAAGTGAGGAGAAAAATAAAAATGTGCGCGTTGTTTAATATTTTATTAGAGTCAAGTATTTAAGGGACCCCAATACTTGACCTCAATGTGTTGTCTTTATATTTAACTCATGGATGACACATGTGATGTATTATTAGGAAATCGTCTATTCCTAATCAATATCAATAAGATACAAAATAACAAACAAAATCAAAGAAATCAAACACACACAAAGAAATACAATTATTTACATGATTCACTCCAGAATAGAGTTACATCCACAACTGCTACAATTTTCATTATGATCAGAAAATAATATAACTCTCTTAACCTAAAAGAGACACTTTCGTCATCTATTTATAAATATAGAATTAGGGCAACGTAGAAATAACGAAAAATTACCAAAGTACCCTCGGACCCTCTCCTCTTGGGGGAGGCCCTCCTCCCAAACCTTCCATTAGACCCAAGGTTCAGTGAATAGTACTTATCAGGGTCTACAAAATCCAATATCTATGTAAAATTCAAATAAGTAAAATTAAAATAATAATAAAAATATTGGGTAAATTAAAAATACCCCCCTAAGGTTTGAAAAATTACAAATATCCTCTTGTCAGAATTTTTTATTTAATATAATTAACTACAAAAAAAAATGAAATTCATAATTGCTTTCCTATACAATAATAAAATTACTTAAATTATTAATTGAAACATGTTTCTAACATCATTAAAAACTATAAATTGACTTGAAATCGAAAATATTTTACCCATAAAGATATTCGTAAGTGAAATGACAAAATACGCATGTGTATATATATATGTGTGTGTGTGTATTGTAACCCGATTTACTTCCAAGACTTTCTCATATAAGGATGGGATAGGTTGAAATACACCTTGTGATGTTTTGAGAAGTTAGTAAAAAGTTGATTTTTTGACTTTTTAACTTTTTGACTTTTTTAAGGAGCTTTTTTAACAAAAAATTAGATTCTTTTGGATAAAAAAAACTGACCTTTTTAGCTAAAAAACTAAAAAATTGACTTTTTTAACCTCTTCCCAAAATGTCCCCTTCTCTCTCACTCTTCATGATTTCTTTTTTCTCTCTCTCATCTCCTGATCACCAAACCCATCTTCTTATTCTTACAACTTTTTCTCCCTCTAAAACCCCTCCATCATCTTCGGACATCCATGACTGTAAAAATACTGGGAGCTCGTATTTTACGCTCGAGTGGCGGTTCCCCCGCTCGAGCGGACGTCAAGAATTCTGAGTTTTCCAGAACTTGTTCTTGAGCTCAAACTCGACCTCCAAAGGTTCAAAACTCATAATTTTGGTTCCAAAACATGCAAATACAATCTTCCTATTTGGTAACGTTTACGTTTTCAGTTTATATTTACAAAAATTTTATAAATTGGTTTTTGTTTATTTTTTGTTTATTTTTAAAAAACATAAACTCCAAACGCGTTTGGTTTAGACAAAATGTTTAAAAAAATTTAAAAATATAAAAAAGAGTGAGAAATGACAAGTGGTGGCGAGTGGTGGGTGGTGACGAGTGGTGGCAACGGAAGACGGTGGTGGAAAATGGTGGCAGGTGGTAGGTGATGGTGGAAGAAGACGGTGGTAGAAAGTGGTGGCAAGTGGCAGGTGGGTGGGTGGTGGTAGCAGAAGACGGTGGTGGAAAATGGTGGCGGATGGTGGCTAGTGTTGGGTGGTAAAAAAAAAAAAAAAACTGAAAACTCAAAATGAAAACACATTTTTTTGTGTTTTCATTTTTTGGCCAAATTTATAAACTGAGACCACTGATTTATAAATCAAAAATTTTACCAAACAAGTTTTTATTTGAGTTTTTTAAATTTTTGTAAATGTAAACAGAAAACTGAAAACGTAAGTGTTATCAAACGACACATTTATATTTAACTAATGGTTGACACACGTGATATATTATTAGGAAATCGTCTATTTCTAATCAAGATCAATAAGATACAAAATAACAGACAAGATCAAAGAAATCAAACACATACAAAGAAATACAATTATTACGTGGTTCACTCCAGAATAAGGTTACATCTACAACTGCTACAGTTTTTATTATAATCAGAAAATAATATAACTCTCTTTACCTAAAAGAGACACTTTCTTCATCTATTTATAAATATAGAATTGGGGCAACATGAAAATAACGAAAAATTACCAAAGTACCCCCGAACCCTCTGCTCTTGGAGGAGGCCCTCCTCCCAAACATTCCATTAGACCCAAGGTTCCGTGAATAGCACTTATTAGGGTTTACAAAATCCAACATGTATGTAAAATTCAAATAAGTAAAAATAAAATAATAAAAAAAATATTGGGTAAATTACAAATACACTTCCTGAGATTTGAAAAATTACAAATATCCCATTGTCAGAATTTTTTATTTAACATAATTAATTATAAAAAAAATAAATTTATAATTGCTTTCCTATACAATAATAAAATTGCTTAAATTATTAATTGAAACATATTTCTAACATCATTAAAAATTGTTAATTGAGTTGATAATTTATTAATAAAATGGACGATTTGTTATAAAGGATAGAATGTAATTTTCAGAATCACAAGAGGCGATTTGTATTTTAATTAAATCTCAAAGGTTATATTTATAATTTATCCTAAAATATTTATTATATATTGGGTGTCACTAAAGTAGTAAAAATCTTCTTCATTAGACTGAAGGTTTAAGGTTTAAGCCTCACTCATACCATTTGTCTAATTTTATTGTTTTAAAAAAATTTAAAATAGATGCTTGGCAGCATAAAAAGATAAAATTTTAGGACACCGCACTACTAAAGATGTTCACTTTATAATAACTAGTTGTTCACACACTACGAGAAATTACACTTTTGGTGACTAAAGTTTTAGTCGCCAAAAGTCAGATTTTTAGTCGTCGAAAAGTTTTCCCGACTAAATAGTTTGGTCGCCGGTTTGGTCACGGGAAGATTGTCGGGAAAGATATTGGCGACTAAAAAAAGTTTAGTCGCCGAAAGTCTTAAATTGGCGACTAAAAAATTAGTCGCCAAAAAGTAAAGGTATTAGTCGTTGATAGGCAAAATTGGTGACTAATATTTTAGTTGCTAAAAGCTTTCAAAAAAATTAATATCACATTTTCAGAGACTAAAACATTTAATCGCCAAAATTAAAATTATTTTCCATGACTAATTTATTTAGTAGCCAAAAAGTTTTTTTTTTTTTTTTCATCTTATTTTTTTAGCTACTAAATGCTTTAGTCGCCTAAAGTGTAATTTTTTTTAGCTACTAAAAATTTAGTCACCTAAAGTCTATTTTTTTATTTGGCTACTAAAATTTTAGTTCCCAAAAGTTTATTTTTTCATTTGATTGTTTTTTTAGCTACTAACTATTTAGTGGCTAAAAATATTTACTTCCTTAATAGCTACTAATTATTTAGTGGCCAAAAACATGATATTAATTTATTTTTTTTAAATGCATAAATTGAATATTTTTCATTAATTTCTAAATTATATGCATTCCATTATCAAAGCAACCTATATATATACAGAATAATACATCTATCAATTATCATCTAAATCCATTATCAATAATACTTATTTCATTATCAACGATCCAAAAACTTTAACTTGTAACATCATATTCCAAATATCATATAAAACCACACCAATCAAGTATAATCCATCTAAATTATATATTACATACAAAAACACTGGATTTTCAAAACAGAGGATTGTAGAAAAATAAATGTCTTCCATATACAAAACAAATACTCTTCGTACACAAGAATAAATATCCACAATAGCCCACATAAAAGCAATCTATAAAAAATATATATATATAAAAAAAAATAACCATTAGCACTTATCTGTAAAAAAATACATTCACTTTCAATCGTCAATTATCAACTGCAGTTTCTTTAAATCATATTCTTTTTAAAATATATCCTAACAGAAGACATGATTCAAATTATCTCACAAAAAAGGTCAAGGAAACATGCAATGGTGCCACTATCAACGGTGAGCGATGGGGGGTATAGTGATGGCGAGTCCTTGAGAGAGAGGGAGCAAGAGTATGTTTAAAAGCAACTACTACTTGGCTCCAAATCACAGGAGCATAATGAATCCATGCCTAAATTTTTAAACATATCCGGCTAAAAAATTCTAACAAATATTTGCAACACCACAAATGATTATAAAATCAGTTTCTATTCTTTATGAAATTTTATTTCTATTCCAATCTCTTAACAAAATCCGGCAATCAAACAACTTTAATTGTGCCAAGCTTATCAGTGCCACTAATGAAACTATAATAGCCAACAATTGACAGCAAAATGACAATATATTCACAATAAAAACATTTACAAGGGAAATTCAAAAAAAAAATTAGCACCAACAAACCAACCATACACTAACAACCATTCCACCAAAATCACATAACAAACAGACACTAAAATTGAAGACCAAAAATGGATCACAAACAATATTAAGATAATAACATCAACAGAGCATATATCTAAAAAGAGTCATTAAGATTATCATTATGATTGATAGTATAATTAAGAATTGCGGCACTTAGTGAAAAAAACAAACAAACAAACCATGGCTGCTTTAAGCAAAGTGTAGAGAAAGCTGCCAAATCAAGATTATCATTATGATTGATAGTATAATTAAGAATTTTCAAAAATAGACAAAGCTGTTAATGAATTAGCAGCAATGCAAACTGAATAAGTTGCCTCTTATTGGCATATGGTATATAAGGTGTATACCTATGCTAACAAAAAAAAACCAAAAACACATGCATATCAAATCAATATAAATCTATAATCATATATAAATCCGAATCGAAGGAACACACACACACACACACACACACACACACACACACAAAAAAAAAAAACCAAACAAAACAAAACAAAACTGGAAGCCATGACAATATAATGTGCAAAAAGAAATCCAAGGTTCCTGAAAGTGTGACTTTCTGTTGCTCTTTCCAAAAAAAAAAAAAAAAAAACACCAAAGGTCAAATTTTAGACTTCAATTAGTGAGTGATTGGCCGCAAAATGCTTTTCATCTTTCCAATCTATTGCTTAAAAGGGCACTGCACTTCTATCTTATATCATATCAAAATCAAATAATTAAGCAAAAGAATTTGAATGCCCTAACCATAGCACATTGTTAAAATTTATCCATTTCACACAAAACCCACGTCATTGAGGTCCAGAGTAAGGAATATCAATGGACAAATTAACCAAAACACCACTCTTCAAACACAGTTAAAGAGATGAAAAATAGAGAGAACTAGTAATGGGGAAAAATAAACTAGAAAACAGAGAAGGGAGAGTTAGCTAAGTAATTCATGGTCAAGTGAGAACCTTCAATCCTCTGAAGAAGTTTCTTCACTTTCTGCCTACACCCATCACAGTGTATCTCCACTTTGAGCACACGAGTCTGTAAAAGACACACACACACACCAAAAAAAAAAAAAAAAAAGGAAACAACAAGAAAACAAAGATTGTCAGGAAAAGGCCTACACCCAACTTTCCTCTAATCTCTGGATTTTTTTATTTTCTTTTTGAGGTATAAAAGTCATACTAACTAGTAGCCGCAGCAGAAGATAACCAACTCAACAAAGCCAAAGTGAGACTCAGTTGAGCAGACGTTTTTATGTGCTGAAACCTCAAAATATGCAAATTTTAACATTCAAAATAATCCCTAGCTTTTCTCAGCAACCAAAAAGAGATTTGGGTAAAGCTATTTATGCAGTTGTAGACATGTCAAAAGATTGATACAAGGACTAAGAGTTTTAGAAATGTCAAAGAAAGCATAAACATATAGGAAGGAACTCATCAGCCAAAAGTCTGGTAAAAGCAAGACCCCCTCTATATTAGGTATGAAAGCAATGCTAGCTAAATCACATCAAATGAATTTCACAAGTTAAGATACCCACCCCTCATCTAAAAATGAATCCTTTAGTGATCCTCCAGGCTTCTTAATAATCTGAATGGCCTCCAAGTTTGTGCTGCCCTGCCATTTCCATGAAAATGATCAGCACAACAACAAAGGATAAAATAATATTTCATATAATCAGCAGTGTACAACAACAGAAGCTGTCTGAATGTACAAAGGAGATTGTAAATTACTAATCAAAGTATTATCAACTTCACAATTTCAATTTAATTCAACTTCTTTTTATTCAAATGATGTTTGATATAGAGAGTATTATCTCAATTAGCAATGTTCCATATCATGGTCTCATATCAATCCGTTAAGGGAAAGGGAAAGTATGGATTGGAATGTTCCATATCATATCAATCTGTTAATCAATCTTTCACTCAAATTTGATGGGAAAAAAAGAAAAAAGAGAAAGAGAGAGATAGTAAAGATTGAATTTTCTGCAATCATGGTCTCATAATATAGCCATGCAAACAGGAATATGTAAAACTTATTCTTTAATTAGAAGCCAATCAAGCAATATCATGTTGACAAGGGCATGAAATTAAGAAAGAAACAATTCTGGAAACAATGTAGTTCATGATAGATCTAGAGCATATTACACAACCAAAATTAAAACAAAGGCAAAAAGTAAATTTAATAACGCAAGGCTTTTCTTTTTCACCAATTTCTTTTTTTGAAAAACAGATATATCTTATGCTAGACCAGTTTGGTAATCGATACTAGGTGTAGAAGTTAATCCAGAGAAGAATTTAGCTGAAAGTATGAGTCACAGAAGTATTTGAATTTGAGACCATTCTACCAATAATCTATCAGACCCTCAAGTTGCATCAATAGATAAAAAACAAAAACAGTTCTCAACTCATGTTCAAAACTACTTCAAATTTAGGTGAATTGATTCAATACGAGCAAGTGAGATCACTAATTTGTCAATTTTTATTCCTCTTCAAAGAAATTATGATAAAATCTATTGACAAAATGATAATTTTTTCACTTCAAACTTTTAACTATACTTTTTATTCTTGTACAAATGCCTAAATGAATGATTTAATAATAACTGAACTAACATTAACACCTTAAATATGGTATCTGAAAGTCATTGACAAGCTACAGTAGTTGTGTTGCTTGGGTGGTTGGTGTTGGTGGTGTAGTTGGAACTTGGAGTTGTTGTTAATGTCCATCTCTACAGTGTTCTCCACTGCTGGGAACTTAGAAGAGGCACAGAATAATCAAACCTTTCATAAAGGAAAATTACTGAAGATAATATAGCAAATAAGATTGATAAAGCAATAAAATAAACTTAGAAATTACAAGAAAATTACAATTCAAGAAGGGAGATCAATAGCATATGATCATTGCATAAGATTGCTACCATTAAAACCAATATTCCATTTTGCTTTAATCTTATAAATTTCGAGATTGGTCATCGATTATGTGTGTGAATCTTATAAATTTCTTCTCTGTCAAACCCATAAAACGAAAATCAAACCCATAAAACTAAAATCAAACCCATTTTCGACATGAAGAATATCATAATTCATAGAAATCAAACACTTCAACCAAACCCATTAACGAAATCAACACAAAATTAAACTAAAAAAAATCATATAAACCCTAGAAGAAGTGTGAGAAATGGGGAAATAGGGGCAGGGAGAAAGAGAGAGAGAGAGAGAGAGAGAGAGAGGGAACCAGAGAGTGGCTCGACAGAGAGAGAGAGACCTAGATCGACAATGAGGGAGAGGACCGAGCGCGACAGAGACAAACCTGTGATTTGTGGTAGTGTTGGTGGTGATTTCAGCGATGGCGGTGGCAACATGCGACGATGGGGACGGACGGTGGCCAGCGACGGTGAGAGAGGGAGGGGAGAGAAGCAGCGGAGAGGGAGAGGGAGAGGGAGAGGGAGAGGGTGAAACGCTGAAGAGAGAGAGAAGAAGCGCTGGCTTGCGGTTTGAAATATATGTATATATATATATATTACACCATTAGCGACTAAAATTTTTTTTTTTGTCGCTGAAACAATTTTATAAATCCCTCCAAAATATTTAAAATATCTCCCTCCAATAATTTTAGTTCTTTAGCGACCAAAATTATTTTTCGTCGCTGAAAATAAACTTTTGGCAACTAAAATTTTGGTTGCCAAAGGTAAAAAATAATTTTTTATTTTCCAATCGGCGACAAAATCGTTTTAGTAGCCAAATCTCAATATACAGTGACCAAAATTATTTTTCATCGCTGAAAATAAACTTTTGGCAACTAAAATTTTGATCGCCAAAAGTAAAAAATAATTTTTTATTTTCCAATCGGCGACTAAATCGTTTTAGTAGCTAAAGCTTAATATACAGCGACCAAAATTATTTTTCGTCACTAAAAATAAACTTTTGGCGACTAAAATTTTTGTCGCCAAAGGTAAAAAATAATTTTTTATTTTCCAATCGGCGACTAAATCATTTTAGTACCCAAAACTCAATATACGGCGACTAAATTTTTTTTTGTCGCCAATTCTAGCATTTTTGGCAACTAAATTTTTTTTAGTATCCAATAACCAATAGGCCCTGACTAAAAAAAATTAGTAGCTAAATATTTTACTTTTGCCGACTAAAAAAAATTTTGGTCGCCATTTCTACAACTTTTGGCGACTAAATTTTTTTTAGTCGCCAATTTTGTGCTGGGAAAAACTACTCATATTACATAATTTCACACTGCATATCGCAAAATTATGAGATGAACAAAATAAACCTTCAATCCCAGAAAATATAACATGCTGAATAAAATACAGATAAAATATAAAATGGTTAAATGAAGCAAACCGAAGCCTGTGTGATACCATAGTCTCCTTAAAATAGATTCGTCGCCTCACCGTTGGGTGCTGGAGGTATGCCGACGTCTACTTCCCAGGATATGACGGTTTTTACTAGCTACAACAGAAGCACCTTCTGATTAGCTTAGCGAACTGACAACGGCAACACTCTCTCTCAGGAAGAAAATTATAGGAGAAGTAGACTGACAGGGTATGGATACCAAGGAAAAATTCTTTTTTTTTTTTTTTCTTTTCAAGGAATAGGGCCTCCTTTTATACACCATGGGGGAGAAGGGAGGAGCCTCTAGCCATCAAGGCTGGCAACTAATGCTAGCAAAACTACCCAATCAATTTTGTAAAACTGATGAGCCTTAAATGTGTGAGTTATATACACATTTATGAGGCAATTTCTCATTCAACCATTTTTCTCCAACAATCCCCCACATGAATAAAAATTGACCGAATACAGCAATCGCTCAACGTTTATCAACAAAGACATGGAAAGAGAGAGAGCACACAGACTAACCCTGCATCAGAAAAGGTAGCTGTTGGCCTTGAACCTTTCGTAGTGAAAGCTTATCGGATTGACTGGCTGACCAGTGAACGTGATGTCTTGAACTGTTCTGCAGTTTATGTAAACCGAGACAATAGACCTCACACAGGAGTTAGTCCAACCATTGTTCTTGTTCTCACTGGTGTGTCCGGTATGGCCCTAGAACACTAGCCTGGTTCTGTGAGTGTTTTTAAAGAATTCGGCCTTGGCAATTCTTAAAGAAGCGGCCCCACTTCGCACTCACATAGGTGACCTAGATACGGTATTTCATTATACCACATCACTAAGGTCATTAAAAGCATTAGCTTAACCTTCCACCCTCACAGGGCATCACTGTATAAAGGAATGGGCAAGAGGATTTACCTCTTCAGTGACTCACCTGTTACACGAAGTTAGGTTGTCCCTTTGAACCTAGATCTTGGGATCTCCAGTCAACTAGGTTGGGTTTTCCGTTCCGGTAACCTTACTAAAGGCCTTAACCCCATTGCTCTTGACGACTTTTCTACTAACTCTCGAGTTAACCCTTTGGTTAGCGGATCCGCAATGTTGTCCTTAGACTTGACATAGTCTAGAGAGACAACTCCATTTGAGAGTAGTTGTCGTATGAAATTATGTCTACGACGGATATGTCTAGACTTTCCATTATACATATTGCTCTGTGCCCGACCAATCGCTGATTGGCTATCACAATGAATACTGATAGCTGGCACAGGTTTCGGCCAACGTGGAATATCCTCAACAAATTGGCGAAGCCATTCAGCTTCTTCAGTTGCTTTATCTAAAGCAATAAACTCAGATTCCATCGTTGATCTCGAGATACACGTTTGCTTGGCAGATTTCCAAGACACGGCTGTCCCTCCGAGGGTAAACACATAACCACTAGTGGATTTGGAATCTTTTATATCAGATATCCAATTTGCGTCACTATACCCTTCTAGTACCGCTGGGGATCTGGTATAATGCAGCCCATAATCCAAGGTGTAACGGATATACCCCAACACCCACATAATGCCCTTCCAATGAGTAGCATTAGGATTACTCGTGTATCTACTCAGCCTACTAACAGCTACTCATAAAGCTAGCAATGTACAACTCATCAGATACATCAAACTCCCAATGACCCAAGAATATTCTAGTTGAGAGACACTCTCACCATTATTCTGGGTCAAATATAGACTTAAGTCTACCGGTGTCCTAAACATACTTGTATCTGACTTTCCAAATTTCTCAAGTATCTTATTAACATAATGAGCTTGAGAAAGTACAATACCACCAGATGTTCTAGTGATCTTAACACCCAGAATGACATCTGCAAGGCCCATATCCTTCATGTCAAACTTAGAGTTTAAAAATCTTTTGGTAGCTTTAATCATTTCATCATTGCTACCAACAATGAGTATGTCATCAACGTATAGACACAAAATGACATAACCTTTGTCAGTGTCTTTAACATATACGCACTTATCACACTCATTGATTCAAAACCCATTTGACAACATAGCATTATCAAACTTCTCATGCCATTGTTTGGGAGCTTGCTTCAAACCATACAATGACTTGACAAGCTTACAGACTTTCTTACTTTTCCTGGAGCTGAAAACCCCTCGGGTTGCTCCATGTAGATTTCTTCATCTAAATCTCCATTTAAAAAGCTGTCTTTACATCCATCTGATTATTTTGAAACCAAGTAAAGCTTGCTATTGCAATACAATGCGAATGGAATATAATCCTTGTCACAGCGTGAATACGTATCAAAGTAATCCGAGCCTTCTCGCTGTCAGTGATATTTTGATAAAACTAGCCGAGCTTATATTTTGTTCAATTGACCATCCGCTTCATCTTTCTTCGACCGTCATCTCCTTTCGTTTGTGCTTCAAGTAGTTCTTGAAGTCTTTCCAGCCGTTAGGCAGCTTCTCATAGGATGGAGTCAATCTCACTCTTAATTGCTTCTTTCCATAAAGGACTTTCAGGTGAAGTTACAGCTTCATGGAACGTTCGAGGTTCTCCTTCTAACATATAAGTCAAGAAGTCTGGACCAAAAGACTTTGTGGTTCTAGCCCTTTTACTCCTTCTTGGCTCATCTACTTCATCAGCTTGATCATCTACTTGATCAATTATTTGATCAGCTATTTGATCATCCATGTGATCATCTACGTGATCATCTATGTGATCATTATTATCATCAGCATCTTCTATTTCTTTCATGGAACTCGGAACCCTGTCTTGGGGACGATACGGAAATACATCTTCAAAGAAAGATGCACTTCTAGATTCCATGATAGTATTCTTGTGTACATCTGAAATATCAGACTTGTGCACAAGAAATCTATATGCACTACTATCTTATGCATAACCAATGAATATACAGTCCACGGTTTTCGGATCTATCCTAACCCGCTTGGGTGTAGGTACCGCCACTTTTGCAAGACACCCCCACATTCGTAGATATTTATATGAAGGCTTGTGACCTTTCCACAACTCATATGGAGTCTTGTCCACTTTCTTCCGTGATATTCTATTAAGAATATAATTCACAGAGAGAATTGCTTCCCCCCATAAGTTCTGTGGCAACCCAGAACTTATCAACATTGCATTCATCATCTCTTTCAGCGTCCTGTTCTTCCGCTCAGCAACACCATTTGACTGAGACGAATAAGGCGCTGTGGTTTGGTGAATAATCCCAAATTGAGCACAAGTCTCGGCAAACGGGGATTCATACTCACCACCACGATCACTTCTCAATGCCTTGATTTTTCGGCTTAATTGATTCTCAACTTCATTATTAAAAAGAATAAATTTATTAATAGCCTCGTCTTTACTTTTAAGCAAATACACATAACAGTATTTAGTGCAATCATCAACAAAAGTGATGAAGTACTTGTTGCCACCACGTGATTCTACAACTTTCAAGTCACACACATCACTATGCACTAAACCCAAAGGCTGGATACTTCTTTCAATAGAATGAAAAGAAGACCTTGTCAATTTTACTTCTACACAAGTTTCACACTTGTGTTGTGGATTAATCTTGAAAGATCTAACTTGATTAATCTACGTAAAGAGTCAAAATTTACATGACCCAATCTACTATGCCATAAATTAGGGGACTCAAGCATGTAAGCAGAAGAAGAAGCTTTCTCATTAATCTTAGGGATAAGTGTCATTACATTCAATTTAAACATACCACCTGACATATATCCCTTCCCCACATAGACCCCGCCCTTGGTCAACACGACCTTGTCTGATTCAAACACCATGTGGAAGCCATGCTTGCTTAGGAGAGACCCCGAGACAAGGTTCTTACGAATGTCCAACACATAAAGGACATCGTTCAAAGTCAGTTCTTTTCCTGAAGTCATCTTGAGGATCACCTTGCGTTTACCTTCAACAACTGAGGTTGCAGAGTTTCCCATAAACAACTTCTCCCCGTTTGAAACCGGTTCGAAAGTTGTGAACATTCTCTTCTCTGCACAAATATGGCAAGTGGCCCCAGTGTCCACCCACCACTCCCTCGGGTTTGACCCCACCATGTTCACTTCTGACACGACAGCTGACAGATGCATGTCGTCCACATCGTGTG